CTATCATGGTTCAAATACAGAGGAACTGAATATTCTAATTTCTGAGGCAAAACCCAATTACAGTTTAAGGAATCCTTTAAATATAGAAGTGCCAAGACCAAGATCTGAAATTGGCAGGTCCTCTTTTAAACACTGGGAAACTTCTTCCGCATCCTGTCGAGGACTGTGCAAATTTGAGATTATTTAAGATTGCGAACAAACATGTACTAGTAAGTAAAAGTAAAGTAGGCCTTTATATGGGCTTAAGTGGCTCATGGGGCCGGTGCTTAACTCCGGTTTTCTTAGCATGAAGCGGCAAGGAATTTTGCTACTCCCCCATCACAGGTTACCCCCAGCACATTTAGTCATAACAATTGAAAATTCTTTCCAGAACAATGGATAAACTTCACAAATGACTCCAACCCCAGCCCCTAGTTCTAATTGGCCTAGTTTAATAACAATTAACAAAGCCTGTTCTCCCGTCCCTGGGACAGGAGGAGAAACCTGTTCCCTAAAGATTAGGGCAGAAGGAGATACTTAGTAGGCAGGGTCTTGAGCATGGTGCATCGCTCCTCCAGGCATGTTGCCTTCATTCCCAGCTGCTCTTCCCACTGAGTCACAATTTGAGAGTAATGCGACTCGTGTACTTCTTAACTCATCTAAAGTAAGACCAACTGGATTATCAGTAGTACTTCCTCCATCAGCAATTAGAGAACATTCGTATTCTCTGTCCTGCTTACAGTGTAGGCATCCATCATATTCCTCATATGTGCAGCTACATACTGGACATACCATGTAATTTTCAGTACTTGAGGCTGTGGAGTTTCGATGACGATAACAATCACAGAGCTACAGGTTAAAACTAGAACAAAACTTTTCAATGTCCAGTTCAGGTTTCTGTTTGTGACGACTGAGGTGCCATTAGGCACGACGGTTCGTGTGACTTCTGAATCACATGACTATAGTCACGCGTGTCACACCACATTCCTTTCCCTTACAAAATTGACAACAACAACAACAACAACAACAACAACAACAAATAATAGAATAGGATAGAGGCGAGCTCAAATCAATGTTTAAGTGTTCAGCACAAGTCATAATCCTCGAGCCAGGTGGGGGTATATCTAGTTCGCCCAGAGCATCTATGTAGGAAAACTGAGACTGGTTCTGTGCTGTCTGGGACAGAGTGTGCTGAGAACAATGTGTCATTCTCCTAAATCCTAGGAGCCGGTGAGGTTTGGCACTAATTTGGTACAGGCTCTGGCAAAAAGGTGACCTGCTTTTATTCTCAGTCTGGTGCGGCTCTTCATTGTTGCTACTTGGCACTGGTGAGGGCTTCAGGGTGGAGCACAGCTGGGGGTGGTTTTTGCGGAAGCATCATTCATCTACCTGAACTTCATATGAGCGTCGGTCAAGAAGACATGAGCAGCAACCTAAGCTCCATCTCTGTTCCTCAGGTAGCTTCATTCGGATTGCCTCTCCCACCTTCAAGGGAATGAAGTACTGTAGTACTGCTTGCACTGTAGTCTTTTCCTAGTGGCTAGGCTTCTTGCTGTGGTCTTCAGGTTACTGTTGGGCTGGAATAACTTTTCAGCAGTTGGTAGCAAGGTGTGCGTGCGCCGACCCATCAGCCTTTGTACTGGTAAGGTGCTGAATCCCTCACTTGGGGTGTTGCGCCAAGTGAGGATTGCCAATAATGGATCTCGTTCGTCTTCCTTTGCTTTCAAGAGCAGTCCTTTGTAGGTCTTCACAGCATTTTCTACCTTTCCATTCGCTTGTGGATATCTTGGACCTGAAGTTCGGTGCTCGAACTGCCAATCTGTGGAGAAATTCTTGAATTCCTGGTTGTCAAATTCAGGACCGTTATTGCTAATCAGCACTTCAGGAATGCCATGTCGGGCAAACTACACCTTAAACTGAATAATTACAGCTTGTGCTGTCCTCCTGTGAATCTCAACTACTTCAAAGAAATTGGACCAGTAGTCTACATTATCAGGAATGTCTGCTGCCCAATGACCAACAGATCTGCGGTAATTTTCTGCCAAAAGCGCCAAGGAAGTTCATGTGGTTGAAGCTCCTTGCAAGCCTGTGCTGAATGGTATGTTTCACAAATTGGACAACGAGAAACAAAGTCTCTTATTTCAGCACTCATTCTTGGCCAGTACAAAATTTCTTGAGCACAGCAGACACATCCTCCAATGCCAATGTAACTACTGTGGAGCTGAGTAGGCATGTCCTTTCGAAGTGGGTAGCACAAGCTGTTTTCCAGGAACAACTAGACCCTGCGACTTCTTAAACTCGTTCCGCTTATCATAATACGGTTGGACAGCAGGGGGGCATTTTTTCATGTCTGGCCACCCTAGCTTGATAACACGGATAAGTTCCTGAATATCACCATCTGCATCAATTTGTTCATGGAAAACACCTCGTTTCGGTGGTTCAATTTGAATATGCTCTTCATGATCAACTGTCTCAAGTACATGAATCTCACA